GAGAGCTCAGACTGGCTGCAAAGAAGTCAGGGGCCAATGATTTAACTTCACGGTTCAGTTTCACAAACTCATGGACCTGGTGCCCTGGAAGGGACTTGCACGGGTCACCTGTTCCCTCCAGAACCTAAGAAAGGGAGGGGCTTGCTCAGGCCACGTGACTGGGCAGTTCCCATCTTTGCCTGGAGAGGAAGGGGACTGATGTTGAGAGCCACAGACAGGCCGGGCCCTTGCTGATGGCCTCCCGCTAGGTGCCCACGCCCCCCTCCTACGGGTAAAGCCCATGTCTCGGGAGCAGCTCCCGAGAGGCTATTCTCCACTCAACACCCGCCCTCCTCACCCCCCACCATCCTGGGGACCAGATGCTGAATGCCTTTTGCCACACTCAGCCCCTGGTGCTTCCACGAGGAGTCCCGGGGGAGGCTGGGAAGGACATGTTCCTCCCATTCTTAACATAGGAGTCGATTTGCAGGAAGTCCAACCACCGTGCTAACATTTAGTTCTTCCTATGGGAGTGTCCGTGGGCACCTGCCGTGCACCCCCGCACTGCAGTGAGTGGGACAGGAAGTGGGTGGCACCGCTCACCAGCCCCACGGAGGTGGGACTTGCCTGGCCTTTAGGCATCAGCTGCAGTAACTTGTGGCTCCACTAGGGGGCAGGGCAGCAGCACTGGACCTTCCATCCGAGAGGGGCCTGGGCCAGTCCTGCCTCAGCCTTGCAGCATCCCTGCCCCTCCCAGGCCAAAGGGGTTCTGGCCTAGTCTTTGGTCTCCCCTGGGGCCCCTCCAGTTACTGTCACTGCCTCCTGACAAGGGCTTGTCTAGGGCTACCAGCCCCAGGAGTGGCACCCACGTTGACCCCTGGGAGCAGACAGTGAGCCCCACCTGTCCATTCTCTCCTGCCCTCCCAGCTGCTCTGGCCACAGACAAACCCCATCAGTTTCAGCACCTGCCTCCAGGTGGCCTGGGTCTCTGCCCCTGCGGGCTTTGCGTATCCCAGTGCCCCACACATCCTCTGGCCTGGCTGCCCCCCAGGGCTCCGAGCACTCGCAGAACATAGGGGGGTTGGCCTCAGTGTCTCCAAGCCCACCTCCCCACCTGCCTGATGCCCAAGTACCCCAGGCCTGTCCCCTTCACCTCCTGCTCAGCTCCTGTCCCACGCACCTCATACAGGGACATGCCACGGGATGTGTCCAGGCGCTCCGGCCTCTTGGTCTGAAAGGGCAGAGAGCCTGGTCACCTTGGCCGGACACTACCCAAGTTTCCCTCCCTGCCCCCCCCTTCAGCTCCCCCATCACAAGATTGCAGGACCCCAAAGCCCCACCTCGTGCGCCACCCGACTCACCAGCCTCCGCTTCTCCAGACATACACTAAAGCTCCTGTCTCGGTTGGGCACCAACTTCCTCAGGGGCACCCGCAGCTCCCCCAGGGGAGGCACTCGCCGCCGCCGAGGCCGCAGCCGTGGGTCCTCGCACACACACAACCTGGTGGCCACCCAAGTCAGACCCGGGCAGGCAAGCCCCACTCCACCCCGTTCCCTCGTGGCCCAGCCTCAAGCCTCACCGCAGGGTCTTGTGCCCAGCATCCTGGTGGGTGAAGCCGTGGTAAGTGAGCGTCTCTTCCCAGACAGGCCCTCTTGTGCCCCGAACTGTGCGTGTCCTCAGCTGGCTGGCCTGAGGGCCAGGCAGGGAGGGTCAGGGCCTCCTCGGCCCCAGGGCCCTACCCTGGCCACCTCCTCGATAGAACCCCCAGTTGTGCAGCCTGATGCCCAGGCCTTGTGGGGAGGATCCGGCCAGGAAGGGTGGGTGTGTGGCTGAGGGGCAGCAGCAGGAACCTGGGTCTTGCCCTCACCTTGCTGGCCCCTGGCAGCAGATTGGCTTTGACATAGGTGTCCAGGGAGCCTGAGGCTGGTGGCTTGAGGCCCTGGGAAGAAACAACAGATATGGGGCAGGCCTGTGGCCCAGGCCCACGGCTCAGGGATCCCCGCCCATCCTTACCTTGGCACAGTGAGCCGTGCAGTGCAGAGCGCTGTTGTCCGCATCAAAGAGAAGTGTGAACTCGAGGGTGCCCAGGGTAGCTAAGGGCAGGTGGCATGCAGGTCAGTTCCTCTGGCACCCTGCCACCGTGGCACCATGCCTCCTGCCCTGCCCCTCACAGGTCAGATGCCCAGGATGCCTGAGACCCCATCCTGGCTGGGCTGGGCCCAGCGTGTCCTCATCCCATGCCCCCACTCACCGCTGTCGTCTGAGTCTCCCTCTGGCTCTGGGTCTGGCTGTGCTGGGGTGCAGAGCTGGCGGGAGACACTGCAGGGTGTGGGCCTGGGGCACCCCGGGCAGGCTCAGCAAAGGGGTAGAAATGCGGGAAGTAGTCAGAAATTAGGGGGATGGGCTGGATGGGTCCAGGGTTCACATCGATGGCCATGTGCTCCTGCATGCTCACCCGCTGGGGCCGCCGCCAGCCCACTGCTGCCGTGCCCGCCATGGGGGCTCAGGCCAGGGGAGGGGACTCAGACAAGCCCCCTTGGACTGGGTATGAGGGGGCCACACTGGGCCCAGACATGGTGAAGAGGCATCGCTGAGGGTGCTGAGAAGGGTCCTGGGTGGCAGCCGGGGACCTGAGGACAGAGGGCAGGGTTGGGTGGGTGGGGAAGAAGTGGGGGGCTTCAGCCTGGAGGGGGACCCCGTGTGCTAGCAGCGCCTGCTGGGCTTACCTCTCTGAGAGCTCCGCCAGCTGGCTCTGTTCGCTGCTGGCGCTGGGTATGCGCCTGAGGTGACTCATCTGTGTGACCAGAGCCTCCTGGTACCCGCGAGGGAGAGGGAGGCGGAGCTCAGAGCCCACCTCCAGGGCTCAGGGGAGGGCACTTCCCTGCCCTCAACTCCAGGGGTCCCTTACTTAGCATGGGGGGAGGGGCATCAGCCTCGCTCCGCCCTTGTCAGCCCCTCCCCCTGTTCACATGCCCTCAGTTATTTTTACCACCATCATGGGACCTGCTCCAGGGGGAGGAGGCCGGATGCCCAGTGGTGACAGGGGTGTGAGGGGCAACGGGAGGGGTGTGTGGGGATGAAGAGGTAGGTGAGAGGCAAGGGGTGCAGGAGGAGGGAGCATTGGGGGGGGTGTGGGAAGGGGCGGGGGTGTGGAGGCACTTTGGAAGGTATGGAGAGGTGCAAGGGGCGGTGATGGGAGGGTTCATGTGGAATGGGAGGGGTGCCCGGGAAGAAGGGGGCACTTGGGGAAGAGGCATCTGCAGTCTGGTGTCTTTGCAGCTCCAAGCTTTTTGAAACATGGATGGAATCACATCAACTCCTCTCTCTCCTTTTGTGGGCTTGGAATAAAAGCCTAACCCATCACAGAGGCACACCCCTAGGGACCCCCTCATCTCCACATTACTCTTCATGGTTTCCGTGAACACCCCAAGCTTTGTGCATGTGCAGCTGCTGCCCTAACTGTCCTACTCCGCCCTTTGACCTGGCTAACTCCTGCCTTTGGTTTCAAGGTCACTCTCTGAAGGGGAACTTGGCTGGCTTTCACCTGCTCAGCATTCCCGTTTCCCAGTCAGTGGTCCTTTGGAGGCCACCCCCTTCCCTATTCCCAGCCTAGGGGGTTCATCCTCCTCCCCAGGGTTGTGCCCCAGACCCTGCCAATCAATGAATTCCAAATCCAGCAGGACACGCGACAGGCTCAGGGAAGGCCTGCTGGGTCACAGGCCAGTGCCGTGCAATTCTGGGTCACACTGGCCAAGCAACTCTCTTTTCTGTGGATGGAACACTGGTGCCCCCTAGAGCTGTTGCCCTCTCCTCGTCTCTCTGTGGAGTAGAGACTGCTCCTGGGAATGAGGCCAACACAGTGGAAAGCACAGCCAGAGAGAGCGCCCCTGGATGCAGCCATGCCTGCAGCTACTTTAACCCTGGAGTTCATAATCACCATTCCCCTTCTGGCAACGTCAGCTAGTGGGTGGAGCTTTCTATCACTTATCCTGGCTAAACCTGCCCAGTCCACATGCCAAAGTCCAACTGTCCCCCCCGAACTCTTACACAGAACCCTGTATAATTCCACTATTATTTATATGTGATTGTTTAATGTGCAACCACATGATTATCTGGTCTAAGGTCTCCCCTAGTCTGAGCCCCCGCCGCCCCAGCTCCCCCAGAGGCCAGGACAACATCTGGCTGGTCCGCAGATGTGACCCCAGCACAGCAGCTAGTGTATGGTGGGTGCTCATTAGTCACGTGCAGGGCTCCTCTCCAGATTCCTGCGGCCCAGCACGTGGTCAGCCAGGCACGGAGGAAGGAACCTACAGTGGCTAAGGGTCTGGGCTCTAGTCAGAGAGGGCCCGGTTCAAATCCCAGCTCGGTCAAGCTGTCTGTCCTCTCTGAGCCCAGCTCACCAGCGAGGGACAGTGCTGGCCCCACTCACAGGGCTGAGGTGAGGGTGGAATGATGCCGAGTACCTGGTGCAGGGTAAGTGCCCACTGCTGTGGGTGACAGTGTGCTTGGACAGGGGTGCCCCAGCCAGGAGACCAGCTGTCCCATGGGGTCTGCTCGAGGTCAGGGCCCTAGCGCAGAAGATGCAGTTGCCCAAGAGTTGGTAAAGGCTCTTTATTCAGTCCTGAGGTGGCGCTGGCCTGGCAGGGTGAGGGCAGGGGCTGCCTGGGACCAGTCTTCAGCCCCGGAGCCTCCACTCCCCAGGGAAATCCAGGCGGGGCTGGTAGGCGCCAGGTACCAAGACCTGCAGGGTGAACTCGGTGATGATAGCGGTGAGCCCCCAGACGCGGTGTGGCCCGTGCAGGAAGACAGGCATTGTGTAGCGGAAGTGGCCACCCTTGCAGAAGTGGGTGTAGCCTTGGTTCTGCGCCTGCAGCAGGTGGGCCAGGGGCAGTGCAAACACTTCCTCCACCTATGACAGGAGCAGCGGGAGGGCGGGCAGAGGACTGACCATGGCAGCTTCCCCCCATGGGGACAACCCAGTCCCCCGGCATCCTTGCCCCTACTCACCTCCTCGGGGTTGGGCTGGAGGCTCTGGGGATCCAGCGGGCCCACTCCGGCGAGCACCGGCACCACGGTGTTCTTTGCCTGGGCCAGGGAGGCAGGCCGTCAAGGGAGGCATGGCCTTGGCAGGCCTTTGGGGCTGGAGAAGGGAGGCTGACAGGGAGACCCCACCCTTGCCATCCAGAGGCCGTTAGGAGTCAAGGCCAGGTCCATCTGGCCCCTGTCCTGCGTGGGGCTCACTCCAGCCAGGCTGACCGACTCGGGTTCCCCATTCAGGCCTCTGGGCCTTCACAGACTGTTCCCTCCACTAGAACAACCTTCCCTTACTTTTACTACCCTGAAACCTGCCGCTTGTCATTCAATCCCTTCCTCCCCTGTGGGCCTTCCCCAACCCTCATCCACCAAACTGAGCAGAGCTGGCTCACCCCAGAGCCACTTCCACCGGAACCTGAGCCTCAGTATCCCTGTGAGAAGAGGATAAAAATGCCCCTGACCCGGCCTTGATGGGTGGCAGCGGATGGAAGAGGAGGGACAGGCAGGTGCCTGGTGCTCACTGCATTCTGCACCTGCGGGAGTCCATGACCAGCTCCTTGTCCCTGGGGTCCCCGTGCCTAGCCCAGGGCAGGAGAGCGGGTGAATGGGGTGAAGGATGGCTGTGGCCTCAGAGCCTGGTGGGCTCACCTGGTCATATACGGGCTGCAGGACACCCCACACATGGTCCTCGGGCACAGCCAGGCCCAGCTCCTCCCGGGTCTCCCTCAGGGCCGTGTGCACCACATCCTGGTCAGCCGGGTCACACTTGCCACCTGGGAAACTAAACAGGCACAGGACCTGGTCCTTGGACTGCTGGGCCATGGACGGGCGGGGATGGCAGAGGGCCGGCGACCCCTAAGCGCCTGCCCCGCGTTTAGCGACGCCTCCGGACCTCCCCAGGCTCTTTACCTCCTTGAGCAATGGAGGTGAGGGAGAGGGCCTGGGCCTCAGGCATGCAAATTCTGTCTGTGGCAGCCCCCAGGCGCCCACAGGGACCCTAGGGTGTCCCCAATTTCCGCCGAGGGCGGGGCCAGGGCGGGAAGCCGGAAAGCCCCGCCCCACGGCTTTCAAGACTCTGGGACCAAGTCTTCCTACAGCGGCCAGGAGAGGTGCTGCCCCTCTAGGGAGGGGGTCCCAGCTCAGAGAGGGGGGTCCCAGCTCAGAGAGGGGGGTCCCAGCTCAGAGAGGGGGGTCCCAGCTCAGAGAGGGGGGTCCCAGCTCAGAGAGGGGGGTCCCAGCTCAGAGAGGGGGGTCCCAGCTCAGAGAGGGGGGTCCCAGCTCAGAGAGGGGGGTCCCAGCTCAGAGAGGGGGGTCCCAGCTCAGAGAGGGGGGTCCCAGCTCAGAGAGGGGGGTCCC